TCATTACCCTTCCTGGCAAAGAGTCCCTCCCCAGCTCTTCTATAGGCACCCTTGCAGCAGGCAAGTAATGTGCACTGCAAAATGCTAGCAAATTCTGCTTATACTCAAGCAAACTATTTTAATTCAGTTCAGAGTTCAGCCAATACAGGAATGCAGTTGAAAGTAAAATAACGTAAGAATGAACTGATTAACTAAGAATAAATTTTAAAATAAAGTGTTACAATGCATCATTAGAACTCATAAACCACCACATTCAGAAATCAAAACAAATTATTTTTGAGCTTCAGGCTGCAATTCCCTAATCTGAATTTAGGGGTTGTTAAAGATGTACTATGGGATGTTGTGGAGTGTAAAGGCCAAAAGTGGAGAAATGGAAGGATCAAAGTGTATTCTGGTGTAACAAGCACAGGAAAAGCTAGAGAAGAGGGGCAAAAGGGCTTGTGTGAAAGAGCCTGCTGCTGGTCTGTACGCTTGTACAGGTGAAGGTGCAGCTGCTGAGCTCCTCCCGTCCCCCTAGGTTCAGCAAACATTTGCAATAGGAATTTGTTTTTTTGGCAAGTTACTAGGAAGTGACATACTTCTGAATTAATGGAATTATTTGGCATCTTGAAAACCATGTGGTTAATACATCTGCACCCTTCTGGGAATTGATCAGATATAACAAACTGCACAGCAAGATCTATTAGCTAAGCACTGCTGTAGCACACAGCCCTGAACTACTCTCTGTAAAATGTGTTCAAGATGGTACTAGAATTCTTCCCTATATATATATTCAGAATTTACCCGTCACTTATTATGGTTGCTTTAAGCAGGACAGCCAATATGTTCTCTTACACTGTACAATCTGGTTCAGCTAAAGAAAAGGCTAAAATACGGCCAACTCTGAGCTGGTTTTAGGAACTGAAAGGGAAATTAATTTTGTTCACTCTGTTAGCTAATTGCTATTCACTCTTACAAAATTTTCCTGTCTCCACCCCATTTTTTGGGTTCCTTCAACTGTATCAACCAATTCAAGGAGGCTGACTTGCAATCTTCCTAATCATGCTAGAAAAAAGCTAGCACAAACTTTTCAAGGAAGTATTCTTTCCTTACAAGTCACACAGACCAAACAGATTTAGGTAAAGTCCTAGGAGAGTGTCCAGCTTAGGGGAACAAAGATGATTAAAGGATTAGAGCATCTCCCTTATGAGGGAAGCTGGGAGTCTTAAGCCTGGAGAAGAGAAGGCTGAGGGGAGACCTTATTAATGCTTTTAAGTATCTAAAGGGTGGGTTGAAGGAGGATGGAACTGGACTCTTTTCAGTGGTTCCCAGTGACAGGACGAGGGGCTGGAACAAGGCCACATGCTGGAACACAGCAAGTTCCATTCAAATATGAAGAAAAACTTCTTTATGGTGAGGGTGACAGAGCACTGGAACAGGCTGCTCAGGGAGGTTGTGGAGTCCCCTTCTCTGGAGATTTTCAAGACCCGCCTGGATGCAGTCCTGAGTAATATGCTCTGGGCAATCCTACTTTGGCAGGGCAGTTGGACTAGATGATCTCTAGAGGTCCCCTTCCAACTCTGACAGTTCCGTGATTCTGTAAAGGTTTAAGTTAAGCTCAGAGGTTTTGAATGGGTCTATTCACCCTACTTAATAGTCTAGCTGAATTTACAGTTTGATATCTTTTGACACAGTCTGAAGAGCTTCCATGACCAATAACAACATTATTTGCTGTCATGTATGATCATAAAGTACACTCAGCAGAAAAGAAAACACATTTTGTATCCTGATGAAGAGGCATACTTCTTTGAACCAAACTTTCATGCTGCCTCATCATTGTCATTCACCCTTCACTGTTGTTCAAATTCATCTATCTAGCTGCTCAAGACTTTGTTGCCAGCATGAGCTCATTACAAGTTCAGGAAATCCAGCAGAATCCTCTGCTCTTTGTACATGCCCTTTGCAGGCAGTTCCAAATTCATGGATAATGTTACGCAATTGCTGGCTCAGTTATTATTTTAGTTGCAAAAGAAAGGAAAAACAAATATTTTAAGATAAGAATCACTGCAGAGAGGTGCTGAACATTTTAATGGATGAAATGTAGGCGGATGTCACACCTTCTTACAAAGCTATATATCTCTCCTGGAAATCCTAGGAAAGAAAACAGCAACAGGGTTGGAAATATGGAAGTCATGGGCCTTAGAAAGACATATATATTATTGTATATATTGTGTTATCTCTTAAAAAAAAAAGGTAGTCATTGCTTCATTCTCCATACTACAGTTCCAATCAGGGACAATTACCTCAAAGAGAATACCTATTATGCTGCTAATGGCATGAGATCTAAATCAAGGAAATGTCTGCAAGGCACTTCATTCTGCTATGTAGACCTATACTGTTAGAAAGGACAAACATAACTGAATTATGTCAGTTTTTTTTTTCTTTGAGTAGGGTCTACAGTTTATTGTGTATTTCTACCATCTTCACTTACGAATTTCACTGAATAAACAGTTTTAATACTACTATGGCAAGATCTATGTTTCTCCTGGATCTAGTCACTCCCTCAGGAGACTATATTCTAAACCAAAGTTCCTAAATCAATGGGGAAAACTTATGTTTTAGTAACTAACAGATGCCCTTAAATCTCCATTTCTAATTGTTACATTTCAGCTATGAAACCAATTTAAGGTTGTGATCAAAGTCCCTAAACTAACTGGAAAAAGGTATTCTCTCTCCATGAAACACTAAAACTGACAGGAGAGGAGGAAGCACTAAATTGTATTAGTCTTGGTCTAAACAGGCCACATCTTTTCACATTTGGGAATCACTTACTCCACATCCTGTTCAATAAAACCCACAACCAACCACTGTTCAGGACAGCCTGGAAAAGGTTATCAGCTTTCTGTAAAAGCAGGAAAAGCCAAAGTGTGAGAGGACCAAGAAGGAGCTCTCAGGATGAATGTGAATATTTTTGTATAAACCTAGTTGATCTGATTGTGGAAAAATGTGTGTAACCCACTAAAGAACTTTTGCAAAGTGCACAGTGCCACTTGAATCACTAGAATATCTAGAACATACTAGACAATTTTTAGTGTAAAATTTTAAAAAGATACTGTTTTCATATGAAGAAAGCACTCTAGGGATATTAGATGTTCTAGGAGTACAAAGATAACACAAGATTTTTCAGCAATAGGGTTTCCAGAGGTTTTGTAGCTTTGGAAAGTATCTTGAAAGTAGCACTAGAAAGTATCTTGTTCCTCTACAATACCTTATGCTTTCTAATATCCACATAAAGCGTGTGCTGAACTGAGTTCTCTGCCAGAATAAAACATAACCATTGTTTCTAAAACTAGGAACCATCCTGCAGTTCCTTCAGTTTGTGCTAGAAGCTGGTCCCTGAAAGTGGGGGGGTGGGAGCTTTTGCTAGCTATTGTCACTGTCTTCTCATCACCGCTGCCACACAAATCACTCTAAAATAGAGCCAAAAAGTGAAACTGATGTTTATTGCTTTAGCTTGTGTTCTGTACACACTTGGACAATACAGTAAAAGCTGCAGTTTAATTATGTTAATATTAATACAATGGGAAAAATTATGAGCTCTCTGCTTCCAAACTCCAAAACCTTAAATCTCTTAACTAAAAGCAATAGCTCCAATAAAGGTACTGTTAATTGCCTGAAATAAACACTTGAGACTTGAAGTACGTATTACTGTTAGCTTCTTTTATTCCTTTCCTTTCAAAGATGACATTTTCTTAAAGTTGGAAATGCTAGTATTTATATCTAAATTATGTTGCATATTGCATTTTTAGCTACTGGACACTCAGAAGTCAAAATCATAGTTTCATTGTCACTAGGCAAATGTTTAACAACTTGCATTAGCATGACTGATTTAAAATTCTGATGTTATTCTCCTTTAAAATAATTAGAAAGGAAAAGGATAGCATTCCCTAACACTTGTGCTTTCCACTCTCCAGGTACTATAGAGAAAATGCATTAATTTCATTACAGGCTGTATGCATTGTGGGCTTTCTCATCTTCTGTGTTCATTGACAGAAGATTTTGATTGCTTAAAAGTAAGCTTTAATGAATATGTGTGCAGCTAGCACTCTGATGCACTGCAGAATTAAGGAAAGGTGTCTATAGTTTCCAGCCAATAGCTATTAATGCGTAAAAAAATGGCAATTGTTACTTCTAAGCTTATGCATCCTTTCTTCCCCCTTGTTTTACACCAAGATCACTGGTGTTACAATGATGAGGGTAACCCAGATTCATCTCAGGCTAGAAAAGATTAAAGAAAGCAACAGGAAAATCCTCAGGGATTGAATAGACTTCTTTAAAGGTCAAATCTTGGTAAATCAATGTTTTCATCATTTATGGGACAATTCTAACTAATCCAGTTCTACTGTTTTGCTATCCTGCCCATTCTAACATTAACCAAAGTCAAAGGGACAACCCAATTCCCTTCTCCCTCCCTATCCCAGGCAACAGGTTATAACACTCTTGATGTGGTTTAATCTCTTTCATGCAATGGTTCATGGAATTCCATCCAAAATTTCTGACATAGAAGTTATAGATTATTCTATGACATGTAGAATAGGTCCCTGCCAGAAAAGGCTTCATTTTGATGGGAATGTTTCTAGCAACGGGAATCAACCACACAGTTCTCAAAACTGTTTCATTGCTTCTCATACTGTTTGTTAGCTTGTATTCTACTTTATAGCTGCAACTTTAGGCAAATCTTCCCACTTGATCTGTGATGTGGTCAATATAGTACAATCTCTTAGTACAATGAAAATCCTCAAAACAAACACCAGTAGCAGAGTTTTCCCAACAACAAAAACTATTTGTTCTGCTTGATGGATCTCCTAATTCCACTTTCATCTGAAATTCTTCAACACAATCTTAAACCCTGAGCAATAACACAATAAAACCCAAAATTAAGAAATCCAAAGGTTCATATTCTCTTTATTCTCTTCCCACAATTCATTACAACAGCAGTATGCAAAGCAAATATGCCTTACCAAGTTCTGTTATGGAGCTTTTTCCATCCGATGGTAAAGGAATGTACTGATTAGAGAAGAAGTTGCTTCCATAACCCAGGACAAAACCTTCTAGTTTGGTGTTTTGACTTGGTCGGAGATACCTCATGCAAATGGTGTCATCTGTTGCATTGATCTGAACTTTCAGACTCTGCCTTTTTACTGGGGAAAGAGTAAAAAAAAGAGAAGACAAGAATGTATTGTCTTGTAATCATGGATTCAGTATTGGAATATGATGATATAACAATACAGGGCTGTTTAATTTGCTAGTCACAAGCATCTGAACAATTGTTTAAAGGTGGAGTCTTCTGAAATCTAAGAGTATTTTTAAAAGTAAGTCATATAAAACTGTGCTTTCCAACAGGTCTGTTTTTCCATTAGTTTAGTACTATCATTAGCTGTAACATCTTCTACAATTGCAGTAGTAGAAAAGTGCATTAAGTAACTGGAAAAAAATGCAAGTATTTTTTCTTTAAATGCATGAGTTATAGTGGTATTAACCATCTATAGGATCGACAGGTTAAAAACTTGTGAGTTTAATTTTGATAGGTTTTTTTAGTTAGTAAAAAATATGAAGTTTGAACATTAAGTTAATCACACTGCAAAATTAAGGTAGAGAACAAACAGTAACTAGATCCAAATAAAAATGCTACGACTTTTTATTTTTTGGTTGTTTTTTTTTTTGCTATGTTGGGCTGGAAATGTAATTTTCTATTTGGAATTACACCAGGACACCTAACCAACATATATGCTTTACTCAAAATTACTAAGAAACTTTTTTTAAACGTTCATTTTTATGCTTTCCAGGGGAGCAGCACATAAAGCAAGAAACGTCTTGTATATCCATCGATAAAAATTTAACTTATAGCAATGCAGAATGACTTCATAACAGAATAATCAGGTTTTTTAGCTGTTTTGTCTTCTCTTCATGGGGTGAGGGAAGATTGACTTTTCCTTCCTTGGTACGTATAATTTTAATATTCCCTTGTCACTGTTAGCCTTATCATATTTTCAGAATTGTTGAATGCCAATGCTTAAAAAAAAGTCATGACTTTTCCCCAGACTTATAACACTGGCACTAGAATATTGGGTTAATATCTACCTTCTCATTCTTTTATTCCCGACAGATTTTCAGGCATGTATCCAATCAAGAGGATTGAAATTAACTTTTTAGGAAGAACAAAAATTTGCACAAAATCCTTTTACTTCAGGAGCTAAATCCTGAAGAAAAACAATGAGGTAGCAGAGTAGGTACCCTAGATAACAGGGTAGAGCACTACTGAACTTCCCTCCCTCCCCTCCTCTCACTCTAACTCACTTCTTTTCTTCCTTTCTCTCTATCAATAATTGCAAGCTAATATTCAAGGTTTCTTTAGACAAGCACACATTGATTCTCTAGTGTCACTCCAGCCTACCCTCCTTCTTTTTTTTTTTTTTTTTTTTGTTAATTGGGCCTGAACTCGGGATATAGTTTCACATAGACTTTCTACCAGTGTTCCCCAATGAGAGACATCAACCAGATGAACACCAGAATTCTTGTTTGCAGAATGGCAGTATTCAGATAAGGAAGGAAACAGATTTGATCATTAACTAAGGAGTATTTGGGGGGAAACAAATTGGCCTTTTCCAAGACCTCTTGTGTTGCTACATGTGACGTGGCTGGTGTTTGGATAATGTTTGAAAGATGGGTAAGTTAGCTGCTGGGAGCAAAATGCATGGAGCCTAATCAGGAAATGTTGGCCTTCATTTTTTTTTTTTTTTTTTTTTGAGAAATTCTAGTAACTAGAGTTGCTGAGAGGCCACAATCCCCAGTCTGTGAAGATGATTTAATAGTACTGTTGAACACCTGCAGTTGTCTGCACACTGAATGTAAAGACCTAAGCCAAACACTTTATGCCTCTTCCCTATATAGAAAGAAGCATACAAGTAAAACTGATGGAAAACATGTGCCTCTGATGAGACTGTTCCTTTATCTAAAGACTGATCAAGTAAAAGCACTCAGCCAGGAAATCATCACAATTTTCCAAAGACAACTCAGCCAGGCTGCAGAAGACTGCAAGGCTTCTAGAAAACTCAACTCTTTGACATTTCCAGCAGTACAATATCATCACAGGGGAAGGGGTTGCAGTTGTTTCCTTATCTGGGAGACAACCTAACTTATTTTATTTTCAGTATATGAAACTGCTGCAGGTGTACTACTTTCAACATTGATAAGGCTCCAAACAGCAGAAAACAGGAAGAAAACCCAACAGACTTCAAACCGATCTAATATGTTTCATAAAGATGTTTAGTAAAAAGCATTCCACGGCAATAAAGTGTAGGATTTTTACCTCTGCTTGACAGTGAACTAGTTTTGTTAGAATTATGTAGTCTGCAAAACTCTAACCTAACTTTGGTGAGCTGAGCATAAATGAAAAGATGGTCTCCTGGTCTCCATGGAATATTCATGTCTAAGATGAAAGGAAAACTTACAGTACTTGATTCAAATATGAGATAATAATTTCATTTCTGTATTAAAATTCTTAATCAGACCCCAAACTGGATTTAAAAAAAAAATTAGTGAAGATCTATTTTAATTTTAAATTTACTATAATTTCCCTTTTTTCATAATTGTTTCCATATATCTTTCAGCTATGCTTTACATCAATTTGAAGACCTCATTCTAATTCAAGACTGAATTCAACTGGCTTTGATTCCAATCAGATAGATACTGTATTTTTTTATCAGTAGTCAATTATAGTGACAAGGGGGTCTTGATTTTATTTAAGCCTAAAAACTGCCAGTGAAGTTTCTAAAAAAAGAAAGTTTAAATGGGATCCCTAGACAGCAACAGCTTTGAGGTAGGACCCTTTAGACCTTTGCTTTATATCTAGCACATCAAAACCACCAAGAGAGCATTTAAAATCAAAGTTCTAGCAGAACACAAACAGGAATAATGTATTTTTTAAAATAGAGAAGAAGGCAGAACAGAAGAAAAGAAAGGAAGATTAACTTAACCTTTAAAAAAAAAAAAATCCTTATCCTCCCCACACTGCCTTAACAGGGCAGATCCTTTCCCTCTAGTTCACTTTTAAGTTCAGGATCATTCCAGTGATGGTCTGGATGGCAACAAATACTGCAGTCCCCACAGTGCTTAGGAAAAATCTTTCTTTTCTTCTCTTCAGGGTTGGTCCATGCTCTTGTTAACATAGCTCTCTTCTACCTCCCCTGTAAGCTCCTTGCTTACTATTTCCGTCTCTTCACTCATCAGAAGTTCCCCTAGTTGAGGGCTCAGTTGATCTCAACAAGGGTGCTCTTCTCCCCTTCCTCTTGAAGGTGCAGCCTCACCCAAAAAGCAGCACAGGACAAGGCAGACAAACAGACTTCTTCACTATTCTTTAGCTGCACATTTTTAAAGAAAAATAACTGTGCTAAAGCAACAGCATTTCATAGGACTAACCCACGTTCCATGGGCTGTGTGCATTCCAGAATCACTGAAATCAAGGAATGAATTTCAACTGGTAAAACAATAGCTATCAGAGGTTGACTGCTTTTTTGGAGGTATATGTACAGAACTGAACCTTAAAGGAAAATGCAGTGTTGTGCAGGACAGAATGTAAGCCCAACTCTACTACATTGGTCAGAATTAAAAACAAAAAAAAGAGCCTCCCATGAAAATGCAACAAAATGCAACTCATATTAAGGCCTATGAAGAAGGCCCAGATGGTCACTTGGAATCCTTGGAGCAGACAAGAGGCAAACAGGGAGGGCACAGCAGCACAGAAGAGCCTCTGAAGCCAGCTGGGGAGAGCTCAATGCTACGTGCTGCACAGACATTGCCAGTCTAGCCAAAAGAGAGCCACTCTGGAAGATTAAAGATATAAAGGACTTCACTCATGTTATCTCACAGTATCTGGAACAACTGACAGGGAAATCAGGCATTCCCATTCTGAGAAGAATCTCTGTCTTGGCCACCACTCATATAAACATTCATTAAACATGATTGAATGGACAAGGGAAGTCACAAGAACTTGACTGCTATGATACTGGGATAAGAATGTATTTGATTTTGAGAAACTACCTTTGTCATATTTTGATTTTAGAATACCTGCCCCCCTCTGCTCCCCCATCTCCTTGATGAAAGTTGAATGATAAACTAGACACTCTCTAATTCCAGCACAAAAAGATTCTGAAAACACCTTACAATCAGAAAAGAACACTTGCAGGCACAGAGGAAGGCAAGGTAGAATTTTTCAAACTCATATTTACTTGTCTCAGCTTTTGTCATGTGTTATTGAAACTCTGGTATTAAGTATTTGCATTTGTAGAGTAATTCTTTTACATTGAGGCCACTTCCAAATGGAAGATTCTGGGACCCATAGCTACCTCTGAAAAACAATCTTTCCCTCCTGCCTTGCCAACAGAAATTCCACACTGATCTGCAAGGTTTTCTTCAACAAAAGTCAACTGAGGGTCAAAACCAGCAGGACAAACTGTGCACAGCATATCTGAACTAAAAGCAATATGTTAAGTGCATCAGTCCACTTGCAGCGTTAGAATCACTCTAGGGAAAGGACTCTTCACCTATAAGGGGAAAGACTTTTAAAGACAGCTTAATGAATCCGCTGCATCATAAGGGAACCAGCCATCAATAACTCTTCAGAAAGAAGAAAATAGCTACAAACGGTCTGAAGAATTCAGCTGGGAGCACCATAGTTTGACTAGTGGAAAAAATAAGTGGTTGCACATAGGCCACAGGAGCCAAGAGCAAATAAGCACTGACAGTTTAGAAATATTTAACTCTAAATTACCGAACTGAAATTCACATCTTTAAACTGTGAAAGCAGCTATGGAAGCTAATATACAAAATATTTAGCTGGACAATTGGTTGTTCAAGCTTTGGATCCACCAGGGAATCTGTGAAATACCTTCTTTTTCTTATCACTTTAATTAATCATGGTGTAACAGAGGAAAAGAGGAGAGAATTCATAAGCACTGCTACCATTGCTTATTCATACCAGCTAGTTCTAACTCATGGTTCCTATTTAGCTACAAGACAAACAGAGTTTTAAGTTGGGAAAGGGCAGATTTAGATTGGATATTAGGAAAAAGTTCTTTACTATGAGGGTGGTGGAACACTGGAACAGGTTGCCCAGGGAGGTAGTTGAGGCTCCTTCTCTGGA